ACAATCCTGGTAAAAGGTCACACAATGGCTATGCTGGCACACACTGGACCAGCTGGCCCTTGCTGAGAAGGCATTTGCGCCTTAGCCAGTGTGGGTCACATACAAGCCAAAAGAACAAACGGTAGGCTGCAAAAGGCATAATTTAAAAATATAAAAAATCTACTTGGTTATATATGAAAATAACTTTCTTTTAACTTTAAAAAAATTATTGAGAATTTCATACATGCATATAAGGTGTTTTGATCAAATCCACACCCACTTCCTCCCCTCCAACTCCTCCCATATCTCCCCATTACTTTTTCCTGAACAACTTCATGTACTCTTTCTTTTTCATGGAAGAATCCAGAGAGGTCTGTGTCCCGATTCCCTATCGGCAATTTAGGTAACCTCTTCAGGGGATGGTGTGATAGAACAGAAGGTAGGAATTGGCTAGGCAGTTAGGGTAAAAAGACCCCAAAGAAAAGTAGCCAGTTTCTTGGCTAAAACCCAAAATGTCCTTGGGCCTCTTAGCAACATACTCTGTTCCAAAGGTCAAAACTGTCAAAAGTACTTAGAAGCTCTCATCTAATCCCTAAAAGATTTTAGGGCTACCCCTTCAGAGAGGGGAATTTTAGAGCAGAAAAAAGCCCCCGGGGGGGGGGGGGGGACTCTTAAATTTAAGATAACAACTTCAAAAATTGTAATGTTTTAAAGTTTAGAGGTTTTCATAGGGTACTGTGATGGTTTGAATGAGAATGTCCCCCATAGGCTCAAAGTATTTGAATACTTGGCCCCAGTTGATGGGACTGTTTGTGGAGGTTTAAGAGGAACCACCTTGCTGGAGAAAGCACATCACTGAGGGTGGGCTTTTAGAGTTTATAGCCTTGCCCCATTTCCAGTTTCACTCTCTGCTTCCTGTGTCTGCTTGAATATGTGAATGCTCTGCTTTCTGCTCTAACTGCCTACTTCCATGCCTCCAAACCATGATGGACTCTTTTTTTTTTTGAGACAGGGTCTCCCTGTAGCCCCAGCTGTCCTGGAATTCGCATTCGCTATGTAGACCAGGGTGGCCTGAACTCACAGAGATCCACCTGCCTCTGCCTCTGCCTCCCAAGTGCTGGGATTAAAGGTGTGCACCACCACACCTGGCTATGGACTCTTTTTTAAAAAATATTTTATTTATTATTTTTATTTTGAGTGTATTGCCTGCATGTGCACCCATGTCGTACAATGTCACGGAGGTCAGAGGAGGGCTTCAGATTCCCCTGGAACTGTAGTTAAGGATAGTTCTTGGCCACCATGTGGGTACTGGGAATCAAACCCAGGTCTTCTGCAAGAGCAGTCAGTGCTCTTAACCACTGAGCCATCTCTCCAGCCCCTATGATGGACTCTTACCCCTCTGGAACCATATGTCAAATAAACACTTCTATAAGATGTCTTATTTTTATCACAGCACCAGAAAAGGAACTAATTTAAAACCTGGTTGCCAGGTGTGGAATGTTGCTGTGAATAATCTGCCTGACCATGCAGCTTTTTGGAGGATTGTGGAAGACTGCAAACTTGGACTAAAAAAGCAGTTGAATGTTATAAGCAGAGCTTAATGAGCCATTCTAGCAAAGGCCCAAGTCAAGACTTTTCAGAGAGAAGTGGAAACAAAGACTTAAACTGCAACTGGGATATTTTGGCAGAGGCAGCCCACTGTCTAGGAAAAGTAACTAACAAGCTAGTTGGTACTAGAAGTGGGGTAGATATACAAAACGTACAGTTTGGAGAGGAAAAGAATAGGAAGTTTATAGTGTTACAGCCAAAGCATGTCCTAGAAGAGAGGCTCTCTTTGATAAGATTAGCTCCATTAAGGAGAGGCCTCCAGATGTGCACTGAGTAATGAAGAGAATACCCTCAAGGCAAAACCCCAACCAGCCAAGCTTCCAACTTGTGAAAGGAGAAAGCCTACAGAGAGATTTCAGCTCCTGGAAAACCACAAAAGCTGCTGATAATGTACATGAAGGTCCATCCCAACCTGGTAGTGGAACCTGGCAGTGTTATTTACATGGCAATGTTGCTTATGTGATACTGGCTTTAGAGACACAGAAGACACAAGAGTGAGGAGGTCATCAATTCTTCCTCTAAAGTTTCAGATAGTCATTGAGGCCAAGCATCATGAATGGGGAGTCCCTGTGTAAAGAAGCACCTAACAGGCCAAGAGACCCTGAGAGGCCATTACATAAAGCTGTGAAAGCTAAATCGGGTATGGAGACCCCAAGATGTTGGAGATGCCAGAGCCATGAAACATATCCAAGAAGAGTCATATAGAAATGTATGTTGCAGGCAGCAAAGCTGGATGTCTGAGCCATTGGAAGTTAAGTCTCAGATATCAGACATGGAGTTACAGGATTTGGTGTATGCCCTGCTGGCTTCCAGTCTTTCCTTTGTCCAGTACTTGTTCACTATGTCCCCATTCCTCCCTTTTACAATGGTAATACGTATTCTGTGCCACTGTAGGTTAGAAGTATGTAATTTGCCTTTTGATTTTGCAGGGGGTTACAATTAAGAGAGTGCCTTCAGTCTCAGAAGAGACTTTCGACTTCTGAATAGTGTTGAGACTGTTAAAAATGGGGACTTTTGAAGATGGACTAAATGCATTTTGCATTATGATATGGTCATGGGCCTTTGAGGGTTCAGGGAGTAGAATGTGGTGATTTGAATGAGAATGCCCTCAATAGGCTCAAAGAATTTGAATACCTGGCCCCAGTTGGCAATGCTATTTGTGAAGGTTTAGGGGGTGAGGCCTTGCTGGAGGAAGCATGTTACTAGAGGCAAGCTATGAGAGTTCATAACCCTACCCCATTTCCAGTTTCAGTCTCCTGGAATGTGCCTGCTTGAAGATGTGAGTGCTCAGCTATGCTGCTCTGGTAGCCTCCTGCCATGCCTCCCCAACTGTGATGTACTCATCCCTCTGGAACCATTAAGCCAAATAACTCTTCTGTCTATTAGTAGCCTTGGTCATAGTATTTTATCATAGCAACAGAAAAGTAACTAATACAGGTGCCCTCTGGTAGGCAAAAGCACCTAAGATACTCAACCCCTCAGGCAGTAAAACTGCTTTACAACTAGTTAAAATAAAATGCTTTTTTTTTTTTTTTTAAAGGGCAGGAGATGTTGAAAGGGACATTTAGTTTGCTACAGAGCACACAAAAAAAGTCTAAAATGCCTGTTATTGTTCAGACACTTTTCTAAGCGCCAGGGATACAGCTAGCAAACAAAGCAACAAAGTCCCTGCTCTCAGAAAGCTTACATTCTACTACTGAATGCCCATTTCTGAAGAATCCTAAGCAGCAGACTAAATAATATTTCTATCCCATGAGTGGCACCATCCTTTGTATAAAATGTGCACAAAAAGGTACTGTGGTCTTAGAATATTAAATCTTAATATACAATTGATGTTTGAATAACACATGGATTAAGCACCCACAAATACACAGGAGTCAAAAATCCTTATAACTTCTGATTCTCCAAAAATATAACTATTGATAGCCTGTTGGTGACAGGAGGCCTTACTAGTGTTGTACATAGTCAATTACATATTTTAGTACATGCATTACATATTACATTTAAAAACCATGAGAGATCAATCATTCCCTCCACCCACCAACCCAGGTAATAGGGATTAAACCCAGTGCCTTGTACATGTTTGGCAACTGCTCTACGACTAATCTATATCTCCACCTCTAGAAGAACATTTTGTATCATAACAGACAATTTATTGGGAAATGCCTTGCTCATATTGTGAGGATTAGCCTAATACTATGTTTTAAGCAGATACTTGTAACATTTCAGCTCACAATAGCAACTGGAAAAGGTTATAAAGTTTTACAATAGCAGAGTAATATTAAAGTCTAAGTTAATCAGTTATGATTTAACTAATATTTCATCTTTATATTTGTTTACATTTCTCTCAATTGCACACTGGGTGACAGATGACCTATGAATGTTTTTATTCCCAAGTTTGATAAAATTTTAACTTTTATAATAGATTTATAGATATTTTATGATAGTAAAAGACTAAGCAAGCTATTTTATGCATTCATGACACATATTTCTACAACAGCGGCAAAATCCACAAGTAAGGACACCCAAGCACTATGAACCTACATTATTCAAAGGTCAACTATAATTCTCCTAGTTCAGATTTCACGCCCATCAGGCAACTTTATGACTGTGATGTGATCCCTTATTCACCTATCACAGAGACTGTGCTGACTTGTTTCTATGATGGCCCACTCATCACTGAATATTGATACAGACAACCTGATTTATAAATGTAAGTCTCCTGAGCTTCTTAACGTTCCCCCAGAAGACCACTATACCAATAAAATTAATCATATGATTAGTTACATGATTCTACATGATTCAACATCAGACCATAAATCAAAGAAAACTCATTGCCAACCTATGCCACCTTTTGAGAGAGACAAACTGGAGACTTGGTTTTCTGTGCCCCATTATGGCATGGACCTTTTTACATTTAGAATGGATGAGAGGGATATACACAGGTGACAGAAAACTAGGCTACCACTTTGTCTCAGCATATCAGAAAAAAAAAAAAAGAAACAGATATATACGGCAATTAGAGTTATCACCTCATACAATTGTTTTCTTTTCTTATATGTATTTATTTTATATTTATTGGTCTTACTTTTACAGCTACACTGTCATGGTGGTGGTAATGGTGGTGGCAGTTGTTGTTTTAGTTATAGTCTTGGAGATCAAAGCCAGGGTTTTGAGCAAGCTAAGCATGTGCTCTACCACTGAGCTATAACTTCCAGAAACTGTAATACTTAAAGTTATTTGAAAGCAGAGAATTTTACCTTAATTATTTTATCCTGACCACTAGCCATTTATATATAGACTTATTCAGGTTATCTGAATACTAATGAATGAATGACCATTCAGTCAATCATATATAAATGACACTGTATGCCTATAATCTGATCTACAGCATAAAGAAGACATAAACTTACTATTTTCTTGGACTCTGGCCACAAATCCCATTAAAGGTAACTGAGGCGTTACCTGTAGGATGGAGGGAGGAGGAGGAGCAAGAGATACTGCAAAAACAAAAAAGGTGTGGAGGATAAGGGGTAAGGGTGAGTTATATTAAAAGGGCAATACAACAAAACATAGAAAGGAGGAAAACCACTATTCACAAGCATATATCTACCTTAAGGATTCCCCTTTGAAGGATAATTTTAAGACAAAATAATACACTAGAGAGTTTTAGTAAGTTTTTGAAAATTACAGAGGAAGCATTTATCACAAACAGTTCTACTCTAACATATAATGGAAACTGATTCTTTTCATATATATATTACAAATGTCTTCCCTAAGAATTTCTATAGATTAACATGAATAATCTGTTTTCTCATTTTTAGCTTGAAGGTCACAAATTTAAATGTTTGTCAGTACAGGAGAAAAAAAGTTACATCCCAAATTTAGACTTTTTATTACTTCAATAATGGGCATTAATAGGTTCTTCATTTAATTAAACAAATATGAACTGATTCATTACTAAGAGATGAGGACTCTGCTAAAATACCAGCTATCAATCCTTTCATTGAGAGTCAGTGCTGTTATTACAATTTTCATAATCCCAATGCATTGGTATATTTCTTTCCCGAGCCTACAGAGAAGTGCTGGCCTTATTCAAATTCCAATGTTCTTCTCAAGGTACTTTCCCTTCTATCTCAAATACATGACACCACATTTAGGACTACGGTAAGCCTTCAACAAATATTTAACCTGTATGAATGAATAAATAAGGCAGATATATCCAAATAATCTGGTAAGATTAACTCTACAGTTATAGTTGCTGTCAGAAAGGGTAATCCTTAACAGAATCCCTTTATTTACTCTAAATTACAAATGAGACTAGAAAAGATTCAAGTATCTCTTCCCTCAAAGAGATTACAAGAAAATAGTCATCTTAGTACAACAATATTTGTATAATTTCCCTGAAGACGGTGCTGGTCACAGTGAGTAAAGCTACATAGAACAGATCTCTGAACAAGTCCCTGAAGAAAAGGAATTTGTTAGGCAGATGAGTTCAGACAAGCTGAAGGACCAAGTTAGGACACAGGTTAGGAGGCATAAAAACAGCAAGAGCAGAGTTCATGAGACATGAAATGTTGCCTCTATATGGCTAGCATAAGATATGCTAAAAAGTAGAAATCACAGAAGAGTGAGCAGGTAGATTTGAAACATGGAAGGATGTATGTGAGGTACTTAGCACAAAGAGACTGACTTTTTAAGTCTCCTGGCCTCAAATCCTTGATCTGCCATTTCCTGTGTTTGGACAACATGTCAATTAACTTCTTTGAACAATCCATAAATGTGGTATGAAAAACAGATAATGAGACCTATTTCACATAATAATCACAAAGACTAAAATATAAAAAAAAAATTTAAGGCCCAATCCAAGGCATGGGCACACAATAAATCAAGGCAGTTTCAAGAAACAGAAAGATGTTAGTAAGTAACAATTTAACTAGTATTTAAAGGGCAGACAAAGGCAAAGATGACTCATGGACTTTTAGCAAACTTCACGACTAAATGTAAAGATGGTACTAATTGCATTAAACTTGGTGGGTAAGGCCTAGAAAGGCACAGGTGGTCAGGTGAACACACAAGTCAGAGAAAGAATGACATAGTAAATGGAAAACAGGAAGGCACCTAGAAAATATGAGTGGAATATATTTTTTTGAAAAACATCAAGTTATAGAGGCTGGAGAGATGGCTCAGTGGTTAAGAGCACTGGTTGTTCTTGCAGAAGACCCGGGTTCGAATCCCAGCACCCACGTGGCAGTTAACAACTGTCCATAACTCCAGTCCCAGGGGATCCAACAGCCTCTTCTGACTTCCGTGGGCACTGCACGGCACGGGTGTACTTACCTACATGCAGGCAATACACGCATACATATAAAATAAAAATAAATAAATTTTTTTTTAATCTAGTTATAAAGCCAATAGCTATCAGTAGCGTGGTGATGGTTGTTGGTACACAGACATGGGAGAACATACAAAATGCAGAGCATGTTAAACAGAGAACAGATGAAGATAGACCAGCATAAACTCAGAAATTGGGTCCTTTCTTTAAAAGATAACTTTAGCCAAGGGCTGGAGAGATGGCTCAGTGGTTAAGAGTACTGGCTGCTCCTACAGAGGACTCCAGTCTCCTGTAACTCCAGTTCCGGGGATCTGATGCCATCTTCTGGCCTCTGCAGTCGTTGCATGACATGTACACTTACACGCATACAAGCAAAACACTCATACACATAAAATAAAAATAAATAAATCCAAAAACATTTTAAGATAACTTTGTTGTGTTTTCCCTTGAAATCACACTTCTTGGCAATGAGTCCTTCGTTTGTGTGTCAGACTCAAGACTGGACTAGTTGCTGAAACATTCACAGTACCATTTCTAATACATGAAGTCAGAAGACAATGAACAGAGATGGCAGCAGAAACAAAGTAGATAAAGCCAAGGACCAGCAACAGCAGACAGCATTAGAAAAGTAGAGCTCGGACATCGATTTACATCAAATGAGATGAAACAATTCCCTTTTGTCAGCACACATTAAACCTCTTTGTAAATGAAAACAGGAAATTTCTCTCTTCAGCCATTGGGTAATGTTTGGCAATTTTGGCAAAAGAGAAAAAAATTACATGCATAATTTACAAATCTTTTGTGGTTAAGTTGAATTTACTGATTTTTTTTAACAATGAATAAGCATTCTTTTCTATGTATGAGACCATCAGGTTTTTAACAAGTTCACCAGAAGCAGCCATACAAAAAGCAATCTCAGATCTACCTTAAAAAGAATTACTTTGAAAAAGAACTTGGATTTTTTGCCTAAGCTACTCAATGACTTTTCAAAATTTCATCTGACCAGAACTGAATTCTAGTCCTATGCATCTTTGTAAACAAAACAGTAGGGGTTAAGGGGTGCCGCTCAGTGGTAGTAGAATGTGTGCTTAGTATGACAAAGGCCTTGGGTTCCATCCTTGGAAAGAAGAACAAATAAAGAATGGGAAGTAACTTTGTGAACTTTTTTTATTCCCATTACTTAGCCAAGATGATTCTTCGTATGACAAGACCTTTAACCTATAACCACCAAAAGGTCTGCAAATTTAATTCAGTTATATTGCTTTTATTACAACACAAGAGTGAGGTCAATTAGAAAGGACAGACTCACCAGGTGACTGAGGTTTTAGAGCAAAACTGAATAGCAGTGAAAACCACAACTGTGTACACAGAGTGACATTTAGATAACAGCACTGAAAGGCTTTTTCAGCAACCAAGTCAGTATGCACATGCTGATGAATAAACAGACCTTCCAAGTACATTTCCTGCTTATTTATTAAGTCTTCTGACGCATCTTTGAGAGTTGGTATTTCTAGTCTAATATCCAATTCAAAAGAGTTTTTAAAAAACTAAAGTTAGGCTTTTACATCTGATTTTTATACCTTTATAAATACTCTAAAAACAGACAAATTAAGCATAATTAATATTACTTCTAAAATAGTTAAGGAGCATTACCTTTAGAGGCTATATATTAAATTCAGTTGCCTATATTTTACATTCCAGGGAAGGAAATAATTTATGCAATTCATTTTAAAAGTAAAGTATTTTCTAAAGATGAATAGCAACCTAGAACAAAGGAGATTTAAAAGAGAATGTAATCAGCAAGAAGAGGCTTTCTGATGATACAGCTGTGGTTACCAACTGTCACACTTGTAGTCTCGAAATTTTTAAAGAATTAATTTTTTGTTACTTTTTCAAATTCAAAAAAGAATCACCATATGCTGCTATGCCAAGAAAAATTAGCAGATTAAGGCATACGGTTTTAAAATGTCATTTAATAGTCAGTATTAAGGGTCTATTTGTTTTGCTTGGTCAGCTGAGACTATACTCCCACTTTTTAGTTGTGTTTGGGGTTTTGGGCTCCCTGAAGTAAACAACCCCTAACAAACCCTGAGGAAGGACTGCCGAAACCTGGGTTCAAAGACAACTTCTGCTGCTGCTCCTTACTTCTGCTTTGCTAAAGCCACAGCACACCTCTGGTCTCCTGGAGATTATGGTAATGCAATAGCTAACTTCATTATTTATTTTAGAGAATATGGTGTAATTATCACTTATCACTGTTTCCTTTCATATTCCAGAGAGGAAAATAATTTAAGCAGTTAATTTTGATATTATGAAGCATCTGTTTTAAGAAACATTAATATAAGACTGGCTAATTGCTACAAAAAGTTTCATACGTGAAGGCCATATATATGACTTATGCATTATTAAACTACTTTTATTATGTATATATTCAAAAATACATACATGTTGATACTTATGCGTTTGTTACCACCAAGGTGCTTCATATTCAAGACTTAACATGTCATTATCCGTATATATTTCTGTAACTCTCTTCATTGTTGGCAAGATAAATTTGAAAAATCAATTTCTTTGACTGATTATATTAAAAAACAATGAGAACCAAACAGGTTTCAATCATGCCCTGTCAAAGTGTCCCTTCTAATACCTTGTTTCTGAAATACTCTCATTAGAAGAATACAATTACTATCTTCTTGGACTTGGCACTATCATTCCATATTTGAATTCCTATGTTTATCAAACTCAAGCCAAACTGCACATTAGCAGCAATGCTGCCAGATCTCTACCTCACAGAACTCCACTGCCTTGTTACTTAATTCTTTAGAAGCAGAAATCCATGGCAAGGCTGTAAGGGAAAAACTAGGGGCTCATAAAACACACACCTGGCATCATTTTGTCCACAAAATGGCTCACAAAGCATTAAGTAAATATCACAAGAGCTACACTTGCCCAGCATGCTCAAGAATCTGGGGTCAAACATGAGCAACCTCTTCCACCCAAAGAATATGATTTAATTTTTATTAACTAGTTTTACAAAGCACTCTGATTAGTCAAGCTATAATTATCTTGTTTGAAGTTACCTAATTCCAAAAAAAAGGGGCAGAACTTACTAGAATATGGGAAATAGTAAATGACAACTAAATTGCCTCACATAGTCTCAACAATCCCAATTCACCTTATTTGCTGGAGCATATAAAACAGTTTGATTAAAATCACTCCCTAACAATTTAGCTCAGCTTTCAAATATATATTAATATGATTTATAAAGAAAGAATTATTGAAATAGTTTTAATGAATTAAATAGGGATGGAGATAGAAATCAAGGATAGCACACTTGCTTAGTCTAGCACTTGCAAAGCCCTAGTACTGCAAAAAGTAAAATGTATGAGATGTATTTAAACAGCCTTCAAATAAATTTGCATTTACGGGTTCTCATGGATTGTTTGGGTGAGCACACACACACAGCATGAAATATCCTTCACATTCTTACTATGTGCTCTGTACAGCTGGTATCAAGCTGTAACAGTAAAGGATCTCTCAGCTTCATTATGGATCTAACCCATTTTGGACTAACACCATTGTTTCAAAACTGCATATAATGTAAGGAAGATAGAGAAGGGCCATAAGCAGTAATTTCCAGATACCCAAGAGAGCCAGCCTATTTTCAACAGAACTATGAAGTAGGCTGTATCTAATAAACTAAAATTTAGGATAAAAATTGCATTTAAGAGCCAGCCAAGAAATCATACACTACTCAGGAAGCTGAGGCAAGAGTAATATGTGAAACCACAAATTCAAGACCAGTGTGAACATGATACTATTTTAAGGGGGGGTGGGGGGGATACTTAAGGACAAAAGACACTTAAAGAAATGCAAATCTGCAGCACGTGGGAGGCAGAGGCAAGCAGATCTCTATGAGATTGAGGCCAGCCTGGTCTACATAGTGAGTTCCAGGCCAGCTGGGGCTATAGGGAGACCCTGTCTCAAAAAGGCGGGGCGGGGGGGACAGCTATAAGCAGAGTATGACACATTTTGGCAAAATTTAAGATGAAAATGAGTTTTAGGTAATGGCACAGCCTAAAACACTAATCTTAACAAGAGAAGTGTATCTCAGTTAAGGCAGTTAGTACTTATACTGCAGTTGGCACTGGTTAAACTACAAATACAGCATTTAATTTATGAGAGTCCAGAGCAGTGAAGAAATTTGAATACAAGGGATCCACCTCCTATTCCACAACAGTTTCTGAGCAATATTCTCAGGACTGGAGTACATGAAAGACTGACAAGACTTCAGTTACTTATGTAGTTTTGTATTACAATGGAGGCACCGTTTCCTCCTCCCCCTAGCCTGGACCTTACTTAACACCTGCAGGGTAAGACCAAAACAATTTTTTTTTTTTTAATTTGAAGGGAAATAGAATAGAACAATAGAAAGAAAATGAAACACAAACTCAAAAGCATTAAATTAAAACCTATCTTGACTATTCACGCCTTGGCCTTGGTTTCATATACAAAAATATGTAAAACTTATCACTCTTATTTTATACATGACTATATGAATCAAATGAGATCATAGAGCATTCTTTAAATGATGGGGTTTTTGTAAAAGGGGGATTCATTTTTTTTTTCTTTTGCAAGATTCTAAAGGATATAATTAAGGTTTCAGAGTAGGCAGCAGGCACAGAAGACAAATTTCAGCTCCATAAAAGCCAAAGCTTTTGAGAAATGGTATGAATTATAATCCCTGAAATCAGAAGTGCTCACACAGGCTTAATGACCTCTTAGCAAACATTCAAAAGAGCAGTAAGCTAACATAATACACCTATAGAGTCAAAAAGTCTAAAATTTCTCTTGCATTCTCTGGGGAATGAGCAAAATTATGAATAAATATAGCATCAAATACGTCCCGGGATCAGTTTTTTTGTACAGATAGTTAATTCTATAACTGTTATACTTTCATCAATTTCTCCAAGTCCTACTGTTCTAATTGGAGAGTTGGTATGCAAATTGAATTAAAGAGAATACAACTGCCTAATGCAAAGCAGTTTCGTGTATACCCAACTTCATTTGTACCTCAGAGAGCAATGCCTCTTCCATATACACCGCCTGAGACAGGATTTCACTATGCAGCCAAGGCTTGCTATCCTCCTTCCTCTCCCTCAGGGGTGCTGAGATTACAAGTACACATCTTCATATGTAGCTCAACATTACTTTTTAAAAGCAAATGATCATAATGCACTGAAAAGGGCTCTATTCAGAAAAGTTCAGCTCTACAAGCTTTATACATTTATCATATATTGACTTTTTTTTAAAAAGTAGAAAATGCAGTATTATTGAAAACCTAATATTCCATTCATTCTTCCACTCATCCAACAAATGGTCTTAACATCTATTATGCATGTGCTAACTATCTGTAACTAAAAGAGCTATATATTGATTTATAGAAGGATCTCACTATGTAGCCCTAGCTGGTCTGGAACTTGCTATGTAGTCCAGGCTAGCCTCAAACTCACCCACCTCTGCCTCCTGAATGCTGGGATTAAAAGGCAGAAGCTGCCGGGCCTGGTGGCGCACACCTTTAATCCCAGCACTCCGGAGGCAGAAGCAGGCAGATCTCTGTGAGTTCAAGGCCAGCCTGGTCTATATAGTGAGTTCCAGGACAGCTGGGGCTACAAGGAGACCCTGTCTCAAAAAAAAAAAAAATGGCAGAAGCCATCACAGCCAAAGGCTTTTTGTTTGGTTTAGGTTTTTGTTGTTGTTAGGCGTTTGTTTGTTTGTTTGTTTGTTTGTTTGTTTTTGAAAGAAGGTCTCCCTTTAGCCATAGCTGGTCTAGAACTCACTATGCATATAGACCAGACTGGCTTCAATCTCACAGAGATCCATCTGTCTATGCCTCCCAAGTGCTGGGATTAAAGTCATGCACCACCATACCTGGTTTGATCGGAGGTTTTTAATTAGGTACAATGTAAAAGGAATACAAAAAAAAAAAAAATCTAACCTGGATTCTGGCTATAAAAAGGTCCTCCATTCATCTGATTCTGAAGGCTTGTTTGTGAAGTTATGGAAGGAGGGCGTCTATAGGGCAATGAGCCCCCTATTGTTGGGGGTGTATGGCGAGAAGCAGGCCTATTCATGCTGTAGAACTGAACAGGATGACCTGGAAAGGGGACAGAACATAAATGCATCATTAAAAGAAACATATCATTAAAAAAAATTATCTCAGATAATGAAGTACTTTATGTATATTATCCACCTCCTAATAAGATTACTAAAAACAACAGTGTTTAGCCAATCTAATTACAATCTGCAAAACAATGTAACAAGATGACAAGATGACAGCTGTTAGTCTGCTGATAGTCTATCAAAGCATAAAAGTAGGAAAGTAAGTGAAAATATTAAGCTTGGAAAAGCTACATCTGAAATGAATACTAATTAACATTATGACTTCATTATTTATTTGACTGTGTTTAAAAAGCACCACAATTATGGCTCCTGGAATAGTCTGAATGTATTTCCCGAAGCTAAATCTCCACTGCATTAATGCTTAGAGGTAACAACAGTAAAATGTGATTGGGTCATGAGGGCTCTGCTCTCAATGATGAATAATGCCATTACCACAAGAGTCAGTTAATTATTATGGGAATGTGTTAGTTATCAGGGGAATAAGTTCCTAACAAAAGGATGAGTTCTGTCCCCTTTCCTTTCTCTTTTTCTATCCTATGCATACACTCTCTCAACAGGTAAGGCCCCTTGATATTGGATGTTCTGCCTCCAGAACTATAAGCCAAACAGATTGCTACTGTTTATAAATTATCTAGTCTGTAGTGTTCTGCTATATAGCAGCATAAAACAGACTAAATTCCCTCCCTCCAGGAAAACCAGCCACTAAACACTGGTCACTAAACTCAGCCACTAAACTCAACAAAGTAGTAATATTTTAGGAAAGCAAAAGAAAAAAAAATGCTTGACAAAAGCCTTATTCCAAAACAATAAATGATGATGAAAATATTGTCATCATTTAAGCAAATAAAATTGATTAAACAAAAATATTTCGGCAAAATATTTGATGAGTTAATTCCAAGTCAAGCCTATCTTCACCCAATCAAAAATGCTCATCTTTCCAAAGTCAGACTATGCCTTAAAATTAACTGACAGAAATCTACATCTGTCAAAAAAAAAACCTAAAATACAAAAAATAGGTCAAAATTCGTAACATGGCCCCAGAAACTTGCCCGAATTTATTACGAATTTCAACATTTCTTAAGAAGCACTAAGACCAACTGGAAACATTTGTTTCCAATCCATTCAGTTTCCTAACACAATCCAATTCCTATATGTTACCCTGTCTTTACCCTCCTGTAAGGGAGCAGTAGAGCACCCATGAAAGAACACTCTAGCAGGCAACAGGCAAGGAGGGAGGAGGGGGAAAAGGTGACAGATAGCAGAAGGAGGAAATGAGGGAAGGAGGAGAAAGAAGACAGAAAGAGCAAGAAAGGAGGGAAAAGGAGGGGAGAAGTGAGAAAATACTTGACACTTTTCACCATCATTATAAAATGGTTTTACATAACTAAAATTACACACCAGAAGCAAGCCCCATAAATTTATAAAACTTGGATGCATATAGAATCGTATAAAAACATAGTTTCCAAAATTTACCAGACTATTTAATCATATATATTAAAACATACAACTCAATTCTGTTGTACAGAACCTTGAGGATTCAAGCTTACACATAATCCACTGTAAATTGGCAAATGTCAGTAACCATGATAAAAAGACAAAGATGCAAACTATTACTTTAAAAAGACATTTAATCATTTGAAACATCAGATACAAATCTGTCATTGCCATTTTTACTGTGTTTGTAACAAATTAATACAATCCTAGGATCTTTAAAAAAATCAGATTAATTAGCTGGGCATGGTGGCACACGCCTTTAATCCCAGCACTCAGGAGACAGAGGCAGGCGGATCTCTGTGGGTTCGAGGCCAGCCTGGTCTGCAGAGTGAGTTCCAGGCAGCTACAGGGAGATCCTGTCTCAAAAAGACCAAAAAGAAGAAAAAAAAAAATCAGATAATTAACACCATTGTGAATTTTATAAAGTTCAGTCTAAAATCTCGTATGTTAAGTTTGCAATAAAATTCCAAGACTCTACATAAAAAGACATTATTTATACAAACTAAAGCTAGACATGTTAGCGCAGGGGTGGGGGACATGAAAAGTGGGTCAGTCCTAACAGCCATTAGAGAAATTTAAATCAAAGCCACATGAAAAACCACTCAAGTTGGGGTTGGAAGCAATGGCTAAGCAGCTATGAGTGCTTAGTGCTCTTGTAAAGCACCTTGGTTCAGTTCTCAGCACCCATATATGGCTCACATCTGACTATAACTCTAGTTCCAGAGGAGCTGATGCCCTCTCCTGGGCTCCTGGGTGCCACAGGCTCCTGCATGTATGTGGTGTACATATACTTACACAGGCTCACATACATATACATAAATTTAAAATCTTAAAATAAAACATTTAAGTTAAAAAACAAAATTTTACAACTACTTGGGAAACAATTTGACAGTTTAAGTTAAACATTTCTGCTATCTCCTACCTGCAGACCTCTATCCCGGGTAAGTCCATTGAACCCTCTGCCTTGACTCCCCCAGCCTCATTCACCCTCCCATCTCCGCCATTCTCTCCTCTGAGTTTGGACTCTGCCCCATTCCTTGTCTTGGGGTCCCAGACACCCGGGGATCCAATACTGCTCCCTGATCCTTTTCATCCAGACCAACTGAGTGCCTTCTCTGGGCCCCAGGAGCTCTTCTTCTGGGCCTGGCCACACCATCACCTCTCTCAGCTTCCCTGGGCCTTCAGGACCCACCACGGGCCTCTCTCCTACCCACAGGCCTCTCTCCAGGGTAAGACCATTGGCACCCTCCAAGCCTTAACTCCCCCAGCATCATACACCCTGCCCTCAACTCCCTCTGCTTCCCTGGGCCTACACCACCCTCTCGACTCTTTCTGAGATACTGGGGCTGACCTTTCCTCTTCCTGATCCTTTGCATCCAAACCAATCCAGCTCCTCAGTGCAGTCCCAGGAGGCCTTAGGGCCTCTTCCCGCCCCATCTGCCTTTGCATCTCTCGGTGGCATGGCCACCAGCTACCCTAGACCAGCATCTTTCCTGGGCTAGGCTCCCCAGGCCAGTCCAAACCCCAAATTCCTGAGGCCAAAATCATTCCCAGAGGGATCCAGACCTTAGAAGAAAGCCTGAAAACATCTGACCTTCATCTAAATTGGGCCTCTGTGGGAACTCCTGAAGACAAAAGCAATCTGGCCACTCCAATACAAAATCAGAAGAGAGAACCGGAAGCTTAGACGAACCATCTTTTCATGCCCAAAAAGTAAACCACAAAGACACATAAAGTTCACAAAAAGAAGCAGAACTAAACTTGAAGGCCCAAGTATCACACAAAATTCAGAAACTCCAAAAGAAAATCACATATCAAAATTACAGAGAAAAAATAATAACATGAAAAAACAAAATAACATATCCCCACCAAATACCAAGAGTCCTCTAGAGGAGTACAAAGAGAACCCCCTAGAGATAATGCAGGACATGGAACTCAAAAGAACAATTAAAAACACGAAAAAAAAAATTCAGTGAATTCAAAGAATACACAAACACACACACACAAAAAAAAAGAAATCAAAGAACTGAAGGGAGACAGGGATAAACTTCTGAATGAATTCAGAAAAGAGCTAGAAATATTGAAGACTACTCAGACGGAAATGAAGAAGGA